CACCTGCCTCAGCCTCCAAAGTGCTGGCATTACAGGTGTGAGCTACTGCATCTGGCCACCTTTCCCATCATTTCTTAATCTTAACGTTTATAACTAAATCAGCCCATTCATACACTTAATGACATGAACTACTCTTTCATGAATGAATACTTCACTTTTTATCACTTTATCAACTACTTTATGATGACAAACTGGGAACATTTGGTAGTTCCCAAAAATAATGCTACACTGTAAATCAACCAACAACTAGAATAATGATTCTATCTTTAAAAAAATATATTATTTCAAATATATCCGCTAAATATGTATCAATTTGAAAAAGTCATTTTCTAGTTATAATCTCAAAATCAACAGAGCTCACGTTTATTAGGCACTCACTGTGTGTTAGGTATCATTCTAAGCACTTGCCTAGCAAGCTTAAAAAAACAAACAAAAAAAACCCCAGGCCTTTTCATGCCATAGTCTAGTGAAGATAACAACTATAAACAGGTACTAAGTGCTGTAACCATGGAACATTAAAGCACCTTGAAAACTTGTTAATTCTCCCTGTGAACTCAAAGATGTGGCTTTAAGTAGGGACTTGAAATTTCTTACTTCTAATTGCATAGTGTGACAGGGTCTGATTCTGCAGATCTGAGCTTCTGAGTCTAAATCTCAATTTTGGGGGCAGCTTTTAAAAGGTAAGTATATATAGTTAAGCCTGTAGGATTAGAACTGTGAGAAACTGGAGGGATGACATTAATATTAACATAAGCTAATACTATTCATGTCTCAGGGTCTTCATACAAGGATTTTTTCTTTTACTTTTTTCAAGCTCTTGTCAAGATTTCATCATCACATTCTTCATTCTCATCTCTCAGACTTTATCACTATTTCTGATATATATCACATACTCCTCCTCCTTCTACTCTTTCTGAGTTCACCTAGATGAGGTTGTTTCCATATATGCTCACATTTTCATCCGGACGGTGATCCAGCACTCCCCGTTCTGTCTACCTCTGCCATTAGATCACTATCTCCTTTTTAAATACCCACTATTTACATTTGTTTGTTTCCCACACAATGTATGATATGGTCATTTTGGTAATACTTTATTCCTATTGCCTGGTTACATGGAATGTCTTTTTATATTCACTCATTTTTTTCTATAATTTATAAATATCTACATGTTTTATCATTAACTTCTCCAAGTGATTATTAATTAACTGAAAATATAGCAATCTTTAGTTATTTCTTATAAATTTTTAATTTTCTTCCTTAAATTTCCCATTTGCTAAATATTTATTTCTTCAAGAAGACTGTAGAACTATATACAAATCTGTCTTCCAGCATTCAAAATATTTTTGTATTTAGGAAGTGGCATTAAAGGTTAAATAAAAAAGCAAGGAACAGGACTTGTTCCCACTATCTTTGTTTAAATATCTTCTAACTAGGAGTAGGAGGATGGTGTATGGCCAACTTCGCTACATTTGAATTAGCTGTTCACCTGACTGGCGCCCTCTGGTGGTAAGAGAATACCCTCAGCGGGATAGTCGTGGGACAGCCTCAACACACACCACACCTAGAGGCTTGAGTGCCTGCTGGCTCCTGTCCTGTTTGTTTTATATAGGCTTGAGTCTTCCTTGTCCTTCTTTTCCTTTATTTTCCTTTTCTTTTTCCTTCCTGTCTTCTTTTTAAATATCTTTACTCAATGCTGATTTAGGCCTTTACAAAGGAAGCCAGAGGATAAACTCAAGGATGACAACAGTGTTGGCTGGCATTATGGTATAACGTTAAACTTAGTCAGAAGAGAGTATCAGTGTTTCTTGCAAGTGGATTGAGAGCACCCGTGTGCTATTTGTCATAATACCAAAACAAACCACAAGTAGGAAGGCATGCTGAGAGACTTTCCTCCATTATAATAAAATATTCATTCAATATTACATTTGACAAATGGTACCTAAGAGCAACTGTGAAATATTCTGTACAACTTTAAGTTGTTAACATTAGTTAAATAATATCTTTTAAAGATAATGTAAATTTCATTCTGCCTAAGTTTAAAAATGGACAAAGATGAGCATTCAGATGCCTCTTTACTTAACAAATGCTGAGTCTTGTGTGTGAACACAACAATAAAAAAACTTCTTCTATAAATAAAGTCAGTATAATATTTATCTGCCAAGAAGGTACCAGTGGCTGCAGCAGTACTTCACTTAATGTTGATCTGTGGTCTGAAAAAGTTTACTAACTCTCTAAACATCCCTGACTTCTGTCAATGAAGTTCAAAGTTTTCATTTGGTATCACCCAAATATAATTTCTCAGAAAAAAAGGAAATGTAAATGTGATACGGTTATCTTTGCCAGCTTACCGATTTTTTTTTCAGGGAAAAAAAAACATTGCTGCTTTTACTCTATGAGGAGCCAACTGCTATTCCTGGAGTCATGTATATAGTCTAGATTCCAGAAAAAGGCCTACAGAAGAATCAGATATGTTATTAAATTTGATTGAAACTGTGTATCCAAATATAAAACAAATTAGAGCAAAATCTAGATCCATGAAATGAAATTGCAATACCTTTTCTCTCTGTTTCTACTTTTGCACCTCTAGAATCAGTTCTTGAAACAACTTCAGATGTAAGGTCTGACATGTTTTTAAAGGTATGATCACTCCTTTGAAGCATAAGTCAGATCATTTGATCTCCTGCTGTCAGCCATTCTTGGCTTATATCAAAATCCTCACCATGGCCAACAACGTTCTATATGAGCTAACCTTGGCTACCTTCCCAACAACATTTCCTACTAGTATCCTCATAATTTATTATTAGTTAACTAAAATCAGAGTAATATAATGAACCCTCAAATTCCTGTGTTCTGGAACACATGAAGCATGCTCCTGCCTAAGAACTTTGGTATCTGCTGTTCCCTCTGCTTGGAATGCTCTTCCTCCAGGAATGGTTCTTGATTTGTGCCTTTACTTCATACAGATCTGTTTCTGTCAGTGTCTCCATGGGAAGCAGAATCCACCCCATACAGTAATGAAATAATTTTTACAGAGATATATTTAGGGTAAGAGAGAAAACAAAAGCTGTTACAGCTCTTAGAGATTAGAAACTGGAGGAAGCTTGTACCATTCCTAAGTCTGTAGGGGTAAGGGAGGAAACGATGTTACTGCAGCCCAATGAGAGCGTCAGCTGTCAGAGAAAGGATGCTAAACAAAAGCTATCCATGAAGGAGGAAGCAGAAAGAGAGTAAAAGTGGAAGAGAGTAGAGAAGAAATACCATCACTTGACCTTTCTCTTCTCCTTCAGATATCCTACTGGTGCCAAACCTTGATTGGAGCCAGTGGCGGAGGAACACAGGTGAGGCCATCCTTATTAGTCAGTCTCTCAGGGCCAGACCAGGGCAGGGAAGGGCAGAGATTGGGGCTGGTGGGCAAATGGAGAATGGCTGGGACAATGACTCTACTCAAAAGGTCACCTCCCAAGAAAGGTCTTCACCAATCAATCAATCTAAAACAGTATGCCCAAAACATCATTCCTTCAACCAATTTCATTATAGCACTTATCACTATCTGACATTATATTTTACTTTTTATTTGCTCTCTCTTCCACCAAGATGTAAGTTCTACAAGGGCTGGCATTTCATCATTTGTATCCATTGCTGTATTCCTAAAATTTAAAACAGATACTGCTGCATAAGGAAGGTCTAATATTTATTGAATGAATGCATGAATTTAGTACTGTCTTTGCTATTCAAAAGTACTCATGTTTAATAAAAATCAGAATATACAACAAACTCTCAATATCTGTAAGTGAATTACCCATACACAAGCCCCATACTCCAGCCTTTTCTATGTTCTAAAATATCTTTCCTGTCAACTTACTCTGTAGAAAAACACAAATAAATTTAAATAAATTTAATCTTATGAAATATATGTATAAACATATACATATTATGTTTCATAAAGCTTTCTTTTATATATTAAAATAGAGAATTAAAGAGTCTCATCATTGAGGGAAATACTAAAACCAACCTAGTACTTAGTACATAGATATTCTCTAAAGTGGTCCTAAATGGTAGGGAGTAAAGAAAGAATGAATTCTTTCCCCATAGAACATATGTTCAAAATAATTACAACTGTTTACATGCATTTTAGTTATGTTGTTTAATTTATGAAAATATTGTGATAATGTTGAAAGAAGGGATGAATTTTTGTCTTCCAAAATGGAGCAAAAGCCAATAAACAATGATAAATAATGCTCTATGAAATCCCACTTAGGTTTTTATCTATTTTGCTAATTACTGTAATAATAAGGAACTTACTCTCTCAAGAACTGGTGACTTTGAGGCAGCTTTTATTAATTATAAAAGTTTGGGCTTGCTTTTTGTTGTTGTTGCTAAAAAAAAAAAAAAAAAAAAAAAAAAAAAGCTGTTGTATCTCTTTAGGTCATTCTTTCTTCCAGACCAAACATCCTCAGTTCATCAGACCAAACTTCATATGTTATATTTTTTTGAAAGATTTTCATCCTAGATGCTCTCCTTTGGACATGGTCTTGTCCAACAACTTTTCTGCTAAAGCCTTGACTTCAGAACATAATTCTTCAGCCTGGCGTGTCTAGGGCAGCATAGTGACTATCTTTTCCCCTCATCTGAACATTCTGTATTCCTTAATACACAAGTTTTATTGTTCCCCATAGCTACAATGTTTAATTTACCCGCACCAAACCTTTTTCTGTAAATGCTGTTAAACCATGTTTGTCAAAGCAATTAGAAAACTGCACATGGTTCTTGTGCTTCATCTGTCATCCCAAAAGCTGTTTGGGTTTTCCATAATGAAGTAACTAATGCTAACATAGGTACAATGTACTGATAAAATGATTGCCAAGAGACAGAATCCAACCAACAGAAGTTAGTCATACATACACCTAACTCTCTCAAAAAGCTTTCAAACGTGTCAGCAATTAGGGCAGGAATTACTCTGCTGATGACATTCCAACAAATAACAGTCACTAAGGACTTACCTGCAGCAACTATGATAATATCTGCCAGTTGTGTATGAATCTTCAGTTGTTCTTTGGGGGTATATCTGTGAGCTATTGTCACAGTTGCATCACCTGGAATACAGAAGAATTTCTATTCATGATTACTGAACTTTTAAAAATTTTACAGATGCTCTAAATCTAGAAGAGTTTCACTTATTTCCTAAGAGTAGAAAAGCTACTTTGACATGACTAAATCACTTAATACCTTAGTATACAGGATAGTTGTCTTCATAATGGCAGGCAAACAAATATCGAAAGCAACAAGATAAGTGAACAAAAAAACTAACCAACTTGGAAAGTAGGTATTTAGAAAATAGCGAAATGTTTTTGTCATAGGTTATGGTACATCATAGGAAGCTTTTATATGAAAACCTTAAGGGACTGATGAATGAACAAGAGAGGCAAGAGATTCCAGTATTTGCAGTGTGAGCCATGAAAGGGTAGTGAGGGAAAGTTGGTGATAAAGTGCAGTCAAGAGGACTTTTGGTAAGAATATGGCTAAGACTGCATCTTGTCTTCTCCTGGAAGATGTGCAAATGCTACACAGTTAACAAAACTAACAAAAGTTACATGATCTCCATTCTCCATTTTTATAAACACTGGAAGATCTTTTTTCTACAGACTCCAAAAACATGTTAAGAGTAACCAAAAGCAGCAATTAGTAGATACTATACAGGGAGAAAGGCAGCAAAGAAATGCAGACAATGACAACATGGCCGGCAGCGGCAGATCCCTGAAATTGACTGCAAAATTACACTTCTATGAAAAGTTCATCCCACTGTGCAAACAATATAGCTTTCTTAACTGGGGCAGTGAGAACAGAAATAAAGGCAGAGAGCTTTCAGGGACCTGGTATAGTTCAGAGTGGGTGGTAACACACTCACATAGAGGGGCTATTTTAGAAGGAAGCAGTCTGACTTTGTGAAGGTAATAAAGGAGTCAGAAGGCTGCACAGGACCTCTCTACCCCCCAGCAGAAGTGTCCTGTAAATAGCAGATCTAAGAACATCCATCTCATTCAATGATGAGTAATAAAACTAGATGTGACACAGCAGTAATAAAAAGATATTATGCAAGAGCAAACCCAGGGGAATGTGGGAAGTGATGAAGCTGTTCTGATTCGAGTGGTGTTAAACTAGTTAATTTAATAGATGACTACATGCATTTGTCTAAATTAATGAAACTGCACACCAAAATGAATAAATTTTACCATATGCAAATTTTTAAAAATTCAATAAAAAGATATATTTAAAAAGTGTCAGAACCAAGACAAAAGGCAAAACAAAAGCAAAAAAAAAAAAATTAAGCACTTACCAATAAACTCAACAAAAAATGTCATAGAAAAGTTGAACATTATGACCAAATATTAAACCAAAATTCGTATTTATTTATTTGCTTTTAACTTTTATTTTAAGTTCAAGAGTACCTGAGCAGGTTTGTGATATAGGTAAGCTCATGTCATGAGGGTTTATTGTATAGATTATTTTATCACCTAGGTATGAAGCCTAGTACCCATTAACTAGTTTTTCTAGCTCCCTGCCTCCTCCTAACCTCCACCCACCAGTAAGCCTCAGTGTCTGTTGTTCCCCTCTCCCGGTCTATTTGCTCTCATCATTTAGCTCCCACTTATAAGTGAGAGCATGCAGTATTTGATTTCTGTTGCTGCGTTAATTTGCCGAAGATAATGGCCTCCAGCTCCATCCAGGTTCCTGTAAAGGATACAATCTCATTCTTTCACGGCTGCATGTATTCCATGGTGTATGCGTGTGTATGTGTATGTGTGCACACATGCATGTATGTAAGTGGTATGTGCGTATAAACACACATACACACATATTTTCCTTATCTAGTCTACCATTAATGGGCATTTAGGTTGATTCCATGTCTTAGTGACTGTGAATAGTGCTGCAATAAATGTGTGCATGTGTCTATGATGGAACAATTTATATTCCTTTCAGTGTATGCCCAGTAATAAGATTGCTGGGTCAAACAGTAGTTCTGTTTTTCGGTCTCTGAGGACATGTCATGCTGTTTTCCACAATGATTGAACTAATTTACACTCCCACTAACCGTATATAAACATTCTTTTTTCTCCATAACCTCACCAGCATCTGTTATTTTTTGACTTTTAATAATAGCCATTCTGACCGGTGTGAGATGGTGGTATCTCATTGTGTATCTACAAGAGATTCATGTAAACAAATTGGAGTAAAGGATTTTTATAGCCAGTGAAATCTGCCTCCAAGATGACAAGTTAAAAACAATTTTGAAAACACAAGAAATATTGTTCCCATAAGTCTATCCTAAGGAACATGCTCAAAGATAAAGTTTACTTAATCAAAGTATGTCTGAGGAAACTAGCAAAAGGACTGTAGAAAATTTTAACTATATATTATTATAGGACCAAGAGTTTAAAATAAAGTGTGAGGATTGGAGTGACAAACTGCTATGGTTTGAATATTTGTCCTCTCCCAAACTCATGTTGAAATGGAATTGCAATTGTAACAATATTAAGAGATGGAACCTTTAAGAGGTGACAGGACACTAAGGCTCTGCCCTCATGAATGGATTCATGCTGTTATTGCAGAAGTGGGTTCCTTATAAATGAACAAGTTCAGTCTACTTTTGTCTTGCTCTTTCCCTCTCTTGCCGTTCTGCCTTCCACCATGAGACGGTGCAGTAAGAAAGCCCTCACCAGATGCTGGCACCTTGATCTTGAACTTTCAACCTCCAGAGCTGTTCAGAAATAAATTTCTATTACTTATAAATTACCCAGTCTGTCATATTCTGCTATTGCAGAACAAAACAGACTAAAACACAGACAAATGTAAATAGTCCTTGCTTTTCCTATGCAGAAATAATGCAACTAACAAAATTAGAATGAGAAAAGCCACAGATGAGAAAGTTTGTTGATTGTCCAATATATAATTATAGGAATCAACAAACATTTAAATATTGACAAAACAGATCATAAAAGTATAGGAACATTTATTTTTCAAATAGTGTTTATTGGCAAACACCAGGTTGGAGACAAAAGAAATGGAATCAGGGGAGGAAATAAAAATATTTTATCATTTATTTATTTTACTAGATTATCAGTAGCTCTCCTGTAAATAAATAGAGAATTAAGAATATTATATAATGTTATAAATATTAAGATAACCAAAACCTTCTTAAATATCTTTTTTAAATGCACAAATGAGAAAAAAACTGTAAAAAATAAAAACAACAAAATAGAACATAAAATAATATGATAGTTTTACCGTATATATTTATCATATAAACAAATATAAATTTCCTTAAATTATTTATTTGAAAGAAAAATATTTTCAAATTGACTTACAAAGCAAAATCTAATTGTATGCTTTGGTAATTCTCTACTATATATACTATACACATAAAACAAAGTTATTCAGAATTAAAAAATGTTGAAAGCAAACATGTAGCAGGAAAATGTCAAAAAAGAATTTTTTTGTCAAACAAAAATTCAGCACTAAATAACACAAATACATTATAAAGTACACATTATAAAGTAAAAGAGTCATTCAAATAAAGACAGAACAATAATAAATACATAAGTAACAAAAATAAATAAAATTCCTATAAGCAGAAATTATAGGAGATATATATAGAAAGAAAATATAGTCTTTGTTTATTTTTGAATACCTTTCTCAGTTCATGACAGATCAAGAATACAGAAAATGTCAATAACTTAATTAATGATATATATATATGACTATAATATATCAAACTCAGAAAATAAATAATACATTTTCTTCTCATGTGCCCAAAGGACATTTTTTTAATGGTATAAACTTGGTTGCAGAGAAAATTTTAATTAATATCAAAAAGTAGATAATTAGACTATAATTTTATTTGATTATAACTCGGTACAATTATAATTATTGACAAAATTGGAGAAAAAAAGACCCTTCATAAAGAGATTCTTCTAATGGAAGATGTTAAAAATTCTATTTAAAACCATTCTTGGGTCAAATTAAACAAAACAATATTGCAAACTTTTTAGAAAGATTTATAATGAAAACAATTCATATTAGATCCTATAAAATAAACATAAAGCAATGCTTTAAAAATTTGCAGACAAATTATTATATCAATAAAACAGAAATAAGTAAATGAATCATTTAACTTCAGAAGTTAAAGAACAATAAACAGATGAAACTAGAAAAAGCTATAAAAGTTAAAATGTATTTGATAAATCTAAAAAACTAGACTACTATGAGACACATTGACAGAATTCAATAAATTAATCAAGTAAGAAACTGATATACAGAAGTAAATAGCTTACATATATAACATCTTATAAAATATACTGTAAGAACAGGCCTCACTATAGTACACAAGAGAAAATACTTAATATAAGCTTAATAAAAAATGTACAAAATCTAAGTAGTAAAAGAAAATCTCCAGAATAACACCAAAAGATATACATAAGACCAAGGAACTAGAAAGATAAACTATGTTCTTGGATAGAAATATTTAATAACATTAAGATTAGAATTCTATCTGTGTTCACTACAAATGTAATAAAAGTCCAATAAAAATGGACTTTTTTTGGAAGAATGTAATTTGATACTAAAGTTAATATAGAAAAATAAAAGATAATCAGGAAAACTTTGAAAAGGAAGAACAATGAGAGGCAACGACTCTTTTTCATTTTAGTTGGCACCACCTTCTGCTCAGTTCTTTACAATAAAAGTCTAAAAGTCCCCCTTGGTTTCTCTCTTTCTTTCACTTACTATAAACCATCAAGAATGTTGAGTATATATTTACAACCATCCTAAGGTACCAAAATTATAAAGCACCCATCTCTGTTTTAGTTCTGGTCTCCTACATTTGAAAAGGTTCTGTAATACCTTAACAACCCACTCAAGTGTTCTCTAATTCCAAATCAGAGTCTCCCCAATACCCACACAATCAAAACCAAAACAAAACTGAAATTTCCCATTTCCATCAGTACTGATTTCATTAAGAAATTGACAGAGACATGAAATCCAGTGATTTGTACACACATATAAGAAACAATTTATAAAGTTTCAGGCAAAAGAAAAG